AAATCTTCAGTTTGTTGGTTGCATGAGCCACATTAGAAGTGCTCAATAAAGGGGCTAACAGGTGATGGTGTGGTGGTAAAGGTGCTTAATTCCCATGTGGAGCGCATGTGCCCTATAACAAAAAACTCTCAAAAAAAAAAAAAAAAGAAAAAAGAAGTGCTAGTGGTTACTGTGGGTATCATAGACATATGACATAATGGACATTTCCATTTTTGTGGAAAGTCCTCTTGGACAGCACTATCCTAGAATTTAATTCTTAATTATGTGCTTGAAATTAGGAGTAAGAAAAGCCTTGAGAACTAGATATAGCAGTGCCTCCTATCGGGATGGGTAGTTGGAGAATTGGGAGAGAAAACTTGTCATTGGATATTTTAGAAATAGTGCTACCTTGGACCAGCAGTTAGCATAATGGCTATGTCACTGGACTCCCACATAGTCGATCGTGGTTCGCGTCCTGGACCTGATGGCTTAAAACTCACAGCGTGTGTGCGTGCATGCCCAAGATCCTGAGAGGAGAATGGAGGAGAAGGGATTGTGGCGTGACCATCCCCTCTGGGGGGTGATTTCTCACTTTCTGTCTCTCTGTCTCTCTCTGTTTGGCGAGTGCAAGCGCCCTATAGCAAAAACTTCTCAAAAAAAAAAAAATAGTGCCACCTTTAAAAATTTAAATCCACACTTAGAACTCAGAGATCATGGGTAAATATTCAAATTATCTTTCTGATCGCTGCTGACAGGTTCGTTATAAGGTAATAGAAGATTATAGTGGTGCCTGCTGTCCTTTAAATAAAGGAATCAAAACTTTTTTCACAAGCCCCTGCACTGAAGAACCTCGAATACAGCTACGAAAAGGGGAGTTCATTTTAGCCACAAGGGGCTTACGGTAAGTAATAAGAAGTACTGCATTTCTTCTTTAATGACAAAACTGACCTTGAAAAAATTAATTTTAATCTTTTAAATATTTCAGATATTGGTTGTATGGAGACAAAATTCTTGATGATTCTTTTATAGAAGGTATGGAAATGGAAGATGTTTAAAGATCAAGACTGCTAGCGCTATTTCCAAATTTTTACAAGAATAACTTCTATAAACAATCGCATGCCATATGCATTAGGGGATCCACACAGAAGGGCACCTCATTAAGTAGCAGAAAGGAATACCTAAATAGCTCTCCATTGCACTTATATTTGTTAGGTCTTTCTCATGATAGCTCACATTTGAACTCACACCTAACTATGTGTGTATTTCACTTATGATATTAAAATCTCCAGCAGACCTCTGAGTTAGGTACTATCATTTACATTTTATTAGTGAGGAAATTGAAGCACAGAAGGCTAAGCAACTTGCCCACAGCCACGCTCTTAAAAAAACAGGTAAAGCAAAAAAAATAAAATAAAATAAAATAAAAAAAGGTAAAGCCAGGGCTCCAAATCAAACAGCATGACCCCACATTCTGTGCACCAAGCTCCTTGCTATAAGCTCCCACTTTGAGCAGTCCTCTTAAATTATAAAAATTAATACATTGAAACTTTTTTTAATTTCAGAATTTGGATTATTCCTTTATTTTTTTTTTTGAGAGGTCTTCGCTATAGGGCGCGTGCGCTCACCAGACAGACAGACAGAGACAGAGAGACAGAAAGTGAGAAATCATCCCCCAGGGGGGATGGCCACGCCACAGTCCCTTCTCCTCCATTCTCCTCTTGGGATCTTGGGCACGCATGCACACGCGCCTGGCGTGAGGTTTAAGCCACCGGGTCCGGGACGCGAACCGCGGTCGACTACGTGGAAGTCCAGCGACATAGCTATTACACTAACTGCTGGTCCCCCTGGATTATTCCTTTTTAAAGTAAAGATTAGTTCAGGATGCTCTTTAAAAAAACACTCGAGAGTGGGCCTAGCAGATGGCATAACGGTTACATCCCTAGACTCCACATATTCAACTGCAGTTTGAATCCTTGGCTCAGCGGCTTGAAACTCACTCTGGGTGTGTGTGTGCGTGTGTGTGCCCAAAATCCTGAGAGGAGAATGGAGGAGAAAGGATTGTGGCATGGCCATATCCCCAGGGGATGATTTCTTGCTTTCTATCTCTCTCTCTTTCTCCAGCATGCACACACACCCTATACCAAAAAAAAAAGTCTCTAAAAAAGAAAAGCAAACAAAAAAACCATTTAAAATTAATCAAAAATTAATCCTATAAACAGTTTAGGCAATCTTGATAGAGAAGTTTACATTGAGAAAAGTCTGAAAGAACTGCTCAAAGGCATCAGGGAGATAGTTCCCGAGAACAGATGCAGTGCAGTGGTGTACCAAAAACACCTTTCACAGTCATAAACACATAAGCTATAGCCACATAGAAAAGTTTCCCCCACTTGAGTTGGAAACTGTCCTGAGCTACATTATCCCCTTTTCTGTATAATGGGATTTTGGAAATAGCAGTTTTCTAGCTTGTTAAGGCTTATTATTTTGAACTTAAGAGTTTCAGTAAAGCCACTACTGCATATCTGTTTCACCTCAATTTCATTTTTTTTCCCCTTAGGTGTTTCAAGAATAAGAGGATGGTTCCCTAGAAACTGTGTGGAAAAGTGTCCCTGTGATGCTGAAACAGATCAAGCCCCTGAGGGCGAAAAGAAAACTAGATAGCCACTATTAAAATGAAATTATTCTTTAAATCTGCTCCATTACTTGAAAATTGTACATACTACTAAAGAATTATGCAATGATTCTACTCCGGTTAAGGTATTCTTTTCCTCAGAGGTGCCCTTGTGCCATGATTTAAATATTTTTATTACCATTTTGAAATGGAGAAGCCATTCTGCACATGCCTTTGAAGTCCTGCCCATTTACCACCTCCTCTTCCCCAAGAAGAAAAAACATTTCACCCTAGTAAGTTAATTGCATTTTCTCTAGGATTTTTTATGTGCTGCACACCATGGACTTCACCTGCAGATATAGTTCCCCCTTTGCCAGGAGCATCTGCATGTGATGCTTTTTATTTTTTCTTCAGTTGACATTTATTATATAATATTCTAGATACTGTGGAACTTAATTTGTCAAATTCAATATAAGCTCAACTTTTGTTACCTGTCTTTTAATAATACAGATTTTGTCAAATCAAATAAAGATCGCTGGATGTTCTGTATAAATCATAGTTTTTACTTAAAAGCATTTTTTGGTTTGCTAACTAAAAAGGACTGTTTCCTTATGGGAAAACTACTCTACTATGAAAAACTGGCATCTTGAATTACAAGTCTTAAGACATGATATATTCACCTCAATACATGAAACCTATTAATGACTTGTTGAAATCATAGTGTTCTAGGAGACTTTATAAACCTAGTGCTATCAAAGTGCTCCTGAACACTGGAGTATATCAGAAACCAAGGCTTATGTGTGAATGGTAGACTCCACTGGTGGACTTGGGTGCCCAAGGTTAGGCTTGCCTAAACATTCCAAGTAGAATTACAGAAGGAAAAGGAAAGCCTATTTCTCTGGACTAAAGTAACCTAGTCAAGTATTCATTAATTCTTTCGAAGGCAAGGAACTTGAGGCTTTACAGGCCCACTCCTGTAAGAGTAAAATGAGAAGGGCACTGGGGGATTCAACAGTACATGAAACATGACTCTTCGTTCAAGTGGGGAAGTGGACAGACAAGTCAGATGTAGTCCTGCATTATGAAGAAAGGAGATGAAGTAGGCTTGAGTTTTCATTTGAAACAGATGAGGGGACAAGTCATATGTCTGTAAGAGCATCTGCATTTTAGGCAGAGGGAACATCAAAAATAAAAATAGACTGGGACCAGCAGTTAGCATAATGGCTATGTTGCTGGGCTCCCACATAGTTGACCACAGTTCGAGTCCCAGACCTGGCGGCTTAAACTCACACTGGGCGCGTGTGTGTGCTTGCCCAAGGTCCTGAGAGGAGAATGGAGAAGAAGGGATTGCGGCGTGGCCATCCCCCTGGGGGGTGATTTCTCGCTTTCTGTCTTTCTGTCTCTCTGTCTTTCTGTCTCTCTGTCTTTCTGGCAAGCGCACACACCCTATAGCAAAAACCTCTCCAAAAAAGAAAAATAGGCTGAAATATGCTAGGTAGATTTGAGAAACCAAAAGACAGCCAGAAAGGTTTAACTAGAATAAATGAGGTGGGATCAGGAAAGGAAGTAAAGGAGGGGATGTTAAAGATCATAGGGACTAGGGACTAGCAGTGGGTGTAATGGCTGTGTTGCTGGACTCCCACATAGTCGACTGTGGTTTGAGTCCCGGACCCTGTGGCTTAAATTCACGCCAGGTGCGTGTGCGTTCGTGCCCAAGATCCCAAGAGGAGAATGGAGGAGAAGGGATTGTGGTGTGGCCATCCATCCTGAGGGCTGATTTCTCACTTTCTGTCTCTCTGTCTTTGAGGAAAGCATATGCATCCTATAGCAAAGACTTCTCAAAAAAAAAAAAAAAAAGATTATAGGGGCTAAATCACAGAGGACTCAAAAAGTTAATTTCTGCCTTCCCTTTTGTTTCAGATACTCAAGAATAGACATTTCTTAAGGTTTTCTGAGCTTAAGGTCTAGAAAGACCATCCAGGAATATTCTCAACTCAGGAACAGGTCAGAAAGAAACACTATTTAAAATTACTTACAGTGCAACAAAGATAGTAAAGAGGAAAGAATATGCAGTGTGCTCAATTGGAGTGTTGGCTCAACTGGTATTTTGCTTTATTTATAGGTTTGGGATAAAACAGCCTGGGTTCTGTTTTCTCTTTAGTAGTTAAGCTTGGTTGCATGCTATTGTAGAATCATCTGGGACCGCTAAACAATCCCTGTACCCGGGCTCTCTACTAGTCACTTAAGTCGGAATCACAGAGATGGCACCCACGCATTAATGTCTTAAAAAACTTTCTAGGGAATTCCAGTGTGCAGCCAAGTTTGAAAACCACTAGTTGACTTGATTTCTAAGTGGTCCCCATTCAAGACTGATTCTCATCATGTTTCATGAGACAAAAAACACACCACAACATGCATATCTGCAAGTTTATTTTAAAGACTTTACAAGTAGAAGCAACACATATCTGGGGGTGAGGTACAGCTGAAAATGGAGTCCGGAGTAGTAGGGGAAGATCAGTTGCTTCCTTCACAGAAGATAAGCTTGTTGTGTGGGCATGATGTTTGCCCACAGATCTTTGTTCCCAGTTCCGGAGTTTTTATTCAGCACTTGCTTCATGTACTGGAAAAGTTCATTAGACATAAGTTTCAGCTCCTTCCCCTACAGCTTCCAGCTCAGCAGCCAACTGTAGAGAACAGATTTAGTCAGGGGCTGCTACTGTAAGTAACATGTGAAGAACAGTGTTCTTTTCAGACATGTCATAGGCCTGAGTTTTAATATTCTCAAGTCAGAGACCTAACTAGAAATATTCTCTATGATCAAACTTTTCCCTTCTGTATGCAAACTTTAGTGTACACAGAAGTACATAGGAAAAAAAAAAAAGCTATTTCACGGATTTGATTAATATGAGAGAGGTTAAAGCTCAATTTAAAATTTTAGTGGTTTGGGAGGTAGGTGGTACATCGTGGTAATGTGACTTGACCTACATGGGAAGGTTCTAGTTTCGTGAACCTGGACCCCTTGGTGTATACCAGGTACACATGTGCTCATGAGATTCAGGCTGGCTGAGACAGGGTGGACCATGTATATCCGTGTGTATTAGCCTCCATTGGGGGTGCTCTCCCTCCTCCTCTTTCTCATGGAAGAAACACATGAGTAATAGTAATAAATTGTAGTGATTTTTTGAAAACATGAATTTTAAAGAGCTTTTCAGAACTCAAAGATCTCTTAGTTTGAACTTAAAACGTCCAAATAAGTGTTAGAACTAGAGCAACAAGGAAGAAGTCACAAAGGATCTCTGATCCTTGAACTAGTGGTTACTTTTAAAGGTGGCCTTAAGGTTGGAGATCGAGGAAGAAACATAGAGCACAAACTGAGACCTGAAGAAAGGCATGCTGGTCAAAGTACCTGAAAGACAGTGTCAGCAGTGTTTCACATGGGAAGGACAGAATTTACTGATTTATTTCAGCTTCCACATTATAAGTCTCAAACTTAATATTAAAACTAATAATAAAAAATAATTTAAAAAACAGGATTTTATAGTTCAGTAGGTAAAGCAGATAAGAAAGGTAAAAAAGTGAATGTAAGAATAGTTTTTCATATTCTTACAAACAGAATCGACCGGCAGGCTGCTGCTTATCCCCTTCCAGCCACAAGTACCTTAATCTACTCCTGGTGATCCTCATATAAGCTATTGATTTGGGTCCGAAAGTATTTGGAAAGTTCTCCCCGCTTTGCTTTTAATGTTGGTGTCAAGAGCCCATTTTCGATGGAAAATGGCTCTGGATGAATAAAAACGTCCTTGATCTGGAAAAAGAGATGAACACATATTTCACATTATAAGAGTGAAGTTGATGTATTGAGAGGGTAAAGATAACAAAACACATGCCATTCTACAGTAGAATCAGTTCCTTGGAAAGTATGTATTTAAACCCCATTGCAAATGGGAACTTAAAAAAAAAAACTTCTAGTATGATTTGACAGACCAGGATAATACCAGTAGCACATACCTGTTCAAAGGATTTAAGACCACCTTCTTTCCCAATTTTCTGCAAGTCTTCTAAAATGGCTTTCTTTATAATCTAAGGATACAAAACATGACATCATGCATGGCTATTTGAAAAGGAGCCTTAATGAAAGGTTATACATGAGGCAACTCAAAATGTCTATAAAATGATCAAGATAAAAGCAGAATATGACAGTGTGCACATCATATGCTTAATATTTATCAAAGGAGAAAAGACAAATCTAAATGTTAAGTTTTCTCTGAATGACATTTTTTTATTCTCGTATTTTCTACTTTCTTCCCCACAATGAACATATTGCCCTATAAAGAGTTGTGTTTTCCAAACTCCACATCTGCTATGATCTGAGTGTTGTGACCCCTCCAAAATCTCACACTGCACATTGATATTCAATAGAACAATGTTGGAAGGTGGCATTTAGTGAGGGGAGTGTTTGGGACATGGGGGTAGATCTCTGTTGATTTATTTAGGCTGCTCTGGAGGGAGCAACGTCTCTATTAGCTCCTGCAAGAACGATTGTTATAATAAAAAGCAAGCTGGATGTTGACGTGTACCCACTTTCCTTTCCACTTCTCTCAGCCTTGTTATGATGTAGTACCAAAGCTGGCCAGATGCTGACCCCATGCTTTTGGACTTCGCAGCCACCAGAATTGTAAACAAAAGAAATTATTTTCTTTATATATTATTCAATCTCAGGTTTCAGTTACAGCAACACAAAACAGACTAAGACACCATCCTATACCTCAGTCTAGTAAAACCATTCGATCTGTTTGGTGGCTACAGAGCCACCTGTCACAGATACAAAAAGAGTCCATTCTTCTAGAGGCCCTGGGAACCCATAGGTTCCCTAACTGATAGGGCCTTCTCTTCCACAGGGGCACATGAATGCACATTAAGCTTTCCTAAATGAGACTTACCTGGTTTTGACACAGTTCTTCAAAGGAGCCCTTAAGCCCAAGCTTGGCTGCAAATGAGGGAAGTACATCTGTATCGGGAACAGCCACTCCCACTAAGAATGACTGGAAAGAAAAGGTGCAAGGGCATGTGAGAACTAGCATAGAGATATCCCCCATAGGTAAAGAAGGCAGAATTATATCATTGTAATATTTTCCCCAAACCTCAATTTCAGTACTAGTATCCTTTTCTAACCACAGATTTCAAACTCTTGTGGAACTCTAATCCTATGTTCCCATTCAACATCTCATTTCAAAGATGTTCTGTCCAAATTCGATTGTTCAACATTAAGCATCTCTGGTCTGTATATGCCAGCCTTCCCACCTATACTCCAAAAAAACTAAGTTTAAGTCCAGTATATATAAAACAGTTCGTCGGCCTAGAGGAATTTCTTTTGAAGTGGAAACAAAACACAATATAGGACTTTTAAATTTTTTTTCTTTACCAAATGGGTACCTTTTAGTATATTTTTTAACAATCCTACTTGTTTACAGAGTACATTACAGTTTCGATTTTTTTCCCTTGGTAATACCTTATGTTTAGAATATTGCTTCATTTTCCTTGTTTTATAAGCTAGAATCTTCTCATATGAACCCACCTATACAAATATCTTGTAGCCATAGGAACCTGCATGATCTGTGCCTGAAAATGGCTATTGTTAAAACAATGTGTTACCCGTAAGCTGTCCCCATGAACAAAAATTTGTGACACCAGTCTACTTCTGATGTAGATATTTTCTATCTTCTCTGGAGCAATGTATTCTCCTTGGGCCAACTTGAAAATGTTCTTTTTACGGTCAATGATCTTCAGAGTTCCATTCTGTGTGAGATAGATAAAAAGCATCACTATTTTTGAACCCCAGGAGTGGTGTCAATGGGGGAGAGTAGGGAATTCACAGATATCTTCCTTTTTTAAAACTGGTTTCTCAAGAGATTTTTGAACAGTCTTTTCATTTCTCTTTCTTGGCTTTGGGGAAAAGGAAAAAATAAGCTTTCAGCAATAAACTGTCTATATTGCATGTCTAGGTGGAAAATAAGTGTAGCCTCAGAGGCAATCTGAGGCTGCACCAGCTGGGTGAGTTTTGCACTTGCTGGGATAGGCAGATGGCACCCTCATTCAATGAAGAGTTTTGTACCTCTCAATTTCTAGTAATCTATTTCCAATTACTCCATTATCAAAACTCTCAGGAATAAGGAAGGAGTTATATTCTTTTTCAGTTATTTCATAGTTTCTGGAGTTGGGGTACACTTAAATTTAATGAATTTTAAATTTGCTTTCGAATTTGGACTATTTTAAGAGATACTCCCAAAGCTATGTGGTGTATGTGTGGAGAGGTGTGTGTGTTGGGGGGGATGGTTTGGGAGAAATTAATTGACACAAGAAGGCATGCAAACAAGTGTACCACAGTAGAGTAAAAAAATGCATCGACAATTAAATATATACTTCCCCAAAAAACTAGTAGAAGGGATCTCATCTATGCATAACATAATGTAATATAATATTAAGGATTGTGAATGTGTTTATGTCTTTTATTTGATTATTACACACTATATACTTGCTTTAAAAAACAAAACAAAACAAAAAACACCACACTGGGGGCTGGTAGGTGGCATGGTGGTTAGAGGTGCAGGACCCCCACATGGCCAACCATGGTTCAAATCCCAGATCTGGTGGCTTGCTTTCTCTCTCTCTCTCTCTTCCCCCCCCTCCCCGCCTCTCTCTGGTCAAATTAAAATAAATCAATAAAGTTAAATAAAATAATTCTTAAAAAAACACACACACACTCTACCCCACAAAGATGTACAATGGTTTTATGTAAATCAGAAATTTTATTTTAAAAAGAGTTATCTTTTATTAAGACTATTGAATTAGTTAGCTCTCTTCCTCTTTGACTCCCTGTTAGGTATCATTCCTATTAGATCCAAGAATAAGCTAGAATACCTCCACCCTGCTAATCAAGCAAGGCAATAATTGGACTTGTCAGTATAGAAACAGGGCTGAGGAGGGTTCTGACCAGCCACCAGAGGTCATTTGCAGCTGCATTTCTCTGACCTAATTGGTTTGTGGAGCTTAGGTTCTTAGGGACTTTAATTGTAGAATTGGGACAAGTGGCAAATACAATCCACATGATCTCACCTTAAGTAGGTCAATAGACTGAACCAACCTTGGAACTGTCTACAAGGCTGACTCAAGATGTTTGCCATTGATTCAGTCTAACATTTATTATCTGAAAGTGGTTAATAAGGTGGGACCTTTTATTATCCTGGTGAGGGGATATATTTATTGCCTACAGCCTAAGCTTATCAGAGCAGGGAATTCTTATTAAATAGAAATAGCAATGTTAGCAAAATACTAATAAGCTGAGGCAGTTCTTCCTCATACTATGAAAAGAGGAGCATACAAGTGAAAAAACGTACACTAAAACTTGGGAGACCTGTGTTCTGGTTTCGGATCTTCCATGGACCAGCAATGTAAAATCCTGGGGGAAAGATTTAATGTGTAATTATGAAATGCCAAAGTTAGCCTTTCTAGCTTTAGGCCAGAAAGTACTTTTGCTGTTTTGACCACAGTAATAAAGACAAGACACAGTAGGAGCAGTGTTCTAAGATGTTTCAGTGGCAAGTATTCTTTGAATTTCACTTAAATCCTAAATATTGAGCAAGAAAAGAGCTTAGTAGACAAAATTTTCAAGAGGCGGATCTTTGGAAAATTTCTTCCAGGGGTTCTAAGGCTCCAGTTTTCTCTCTTAGAGAAACATGGAATTGATAGTGACTACTGCTAATAGTTTATCAGTAAATTGTGCTGGAAAAAAAAAAAGGGGGGGGTTCCGTGTCTTCCATAGAGGGGCTGTGAAAGTCTCTGAGAAGCATACACTAGCCTCTGTGAACATCTAATTTAGAAATCCTGCTCCCTTGTTTTGGTATATCTGAATTAATTGGAAAGAAACATATCCCTTTAAAACTCATGAAAGACAAAAGTTGGGGACTAGCAGTTAGCATAATGGCTATGTTACTAGACTCGCATGTAGTCGACTGTGGTTCGCGTCGTGGACCCAGTGGCTTAAAACTCACACCAGGCACGTGTGTGTGTGTGCCCAAAATCCTGAGAGAGCAGAGAAGAAGGGATTGTGGCGTGGCCATCCCCCCCCCCGGGGGGGTGATTTCTCGCTTTCTGTCTCTCTGTCTCTGTTTGGCGAGCGCATGCGCCCTATAGCAAAAAACTCTCTAAAAAATAAAAAGTTGTGGGTCCATGGAGTACTCAAACCATAATTTCTGCCTCAAGAAAAGTTAAAAAAAAAAATACAGAATACTACACTTTCCTACCCCTTTCCTGAAGAAGTCACCTAATCATCCTTTGGGTGTGCACAAATCTATTTCTCTGCAAAGAAGCTATGCCAACTCTGAGATCTAGGACTATCTGACTTATTACAGAATCTCTCCTTAAATTTGAGTCTGGAAATAGTGCCCGTACCATTGACTATTGTTATTGCATATTGATAAGGAATAAAAAAAGTCCTTCGACTGGTCTGTGTCTTGTCTTCTTTATCACTGTGGTCAAACTAACAAAAGTACTTTCTGACCTAAAGCTAGAAAGACTAACTTTAGCATTTCCTAATTACACATTAAATCTTTTTCCCCAGGATTTTACATTGTTGGTCCATGGAAGATCTGAAACCAGAACACAGGTCTCCCAAGTTTTAGTGTGGGTTTTTTCACTTGTATGTTCCTCTCTTCATTGTATGAGGAAGACACTGACCAGGTAGGATACAGATCTATTCTCCTCCAGCTGCCTCAGCTTATTAGTCTAATTGGATTTATGCCTCTCTTGCTATAAGCAGATATTCTCCTCAGTCTGGAGCATAGACTCAGAAGTTATGAAGAAATACTCACCGGGAGCCAGCGACCAATGTCTCCAGTATGGAGCCAGCCATCCTCATCCAGGGCTTCCTGTGTCTTCTCAGGGTCCTTCAGGTATCCTTTGAACACATTGGTGCCTTTGATGCAGATCTGCACACCAGACAATACTTAGTGGTAACAATATAAAAGCTGCCACTCCCAGCATGACACTTTATGAAACACCTGCTCTCACCTTAAATCATTTGATGTTTCCATTGCAGTGTGAAGAGCACCAGATTTTAGTCCCCATTATAGGCTATAGGAAGGCAAGGCTAATGACCTCAAAGGAATCATACCCAAACCTGCTCACAGATACTTGCTTTTCAAAATCTTAAACCTTTCCACCATGATTATTTGACTATAAGACATGACCTACTCACCTCTCCTTCATTATTTACTGAAAAGTAGTTCATGTCAGCCACATCTTCCAGCTTCACATGATTACAAGCTAGTGGGGCTCCAACATGGCCTAGAACACATCACAATGAATCAGCTGGGAAACTATAAAACGGTAGTAGTTCCAGGCATATTTCTGAGATATTTATGGATTGATTCTAAAAGAATAAGACTGAAAAATCCAGATAGTCAAGATAAGGCAAGCCTGGACCCAAAACTTGAGTTTGTCATTTGCTACATTAGTCCAGAGCATTCAGGTTATCCAAACTCATGAGTCCTGATTCAGTTAGAACATTTCTTCCAACCACCATACCTTGTGCCAATGAGATGGCTGACCTACCTGTTGTCCAGTCTCCAGGTAAAGTAATTGTACAGCCAGCTGTGCATTCTGTTTGACCATAAGCTTCAAACACCTGGGAACCCATGGAAGAGTTTTGAGAGACTTATTTAAGATAAAGTATGAGCTAGTCATATCCAATGGCCAAGACATGAGGAAAGCAAGACTGCTAAGGGTTGAAGGAGTCTTAAAATCTTGCCCTCATACCTGAGCTCCTAAGTCTTTACAACTAGGAGTTTACTCAACAATCAAAAAGGCCCAATCTGTTCAATAAATGGTGCTGGCAGCCCAGCCTAGTTATGTGGTTAGTAGCAAACAGAACTGTACTGCTAGAAGCCACAAAGATAACCACAGGTTCAAAGCCCTGAGTTAGCTCAAAAACACACTGGGTACATGCATGTCTGTCCAATACTGTACACACTGTTTCTCTCTTTTTCTCATGAGTGTGCATGCTTTATCATGAACAAAGTAAATAAACTTACAGAAAATGGTACATGGTAAACTGTGTATCTATGGCAGAAAAATTAAACTAGATTTTACTTCCATCTTGCAGTATGTGTACAAATCAACTCAAAATGCATCTGACTTAAATGTAAGACCTGAAACTGTGAAACTACTAGAAGAATATAGAGAAACACTTCAAGGCAAAGATGTTTTTGGTTGAGAGTTCAAAAGCACAAGCAATGCAAGCAAAAATAAACAAATGGTGGATGGACCCAGCAGATGGCATAATGATTACGTTGCTGGACTCCCATGTAGTCGACCATGGTTTGAGTCCTGGACCAGGCCACTTAAAACTCAAGCCAGTCATGTCTGTGTGCATGCCCAAAATCCCAGGAGGAGAATAAAGGAGAGGGGATTGCAGCATGACCATGCCCCCTGGTGAGTGATTTCTTGCTTTCTGTCTGTCTCTCCAGTGAGCACATCCACCCTATAGCAAAAATCTCTCTCAAAAAAAAAAAAAAAGGATTATCAGCAGATGGCATAATGGTTATGTCACTGGACTCCCATGTTGACCACGGTTTGAGTACTAGGCCCAGTGACTTAAAATTCATGCTGGCTTGCATGTGTGCATGGCCAAAATCCCAAGAGGAGAATAGAGAAGAGATTGCAGCATGGCCATCTGCCTTCCCAGGGTGGGGGGGTGAGGGGTGTGATTTCTGATTTTCTGTGTCTTTTCCTGTTGCTCTGGAAGTGCATGTGCCCTATAGTAAAAGTCTAAATAAATAAATAAATAAACAAACAAATGGGATTGTATCAAACTAAATTGCTCTGTATGGCAAGGAAACAACATAGTATAGAGACATCCTACAGACTGGGATAAAATATTTGCAAATTATTAATGTCCAGAATATATAATACAAAGAACCACAACTCAGTAGCCAAAAACCAAATAACCCAACTTAATAATGGGCAAATTATTTGAATCAACATTTCTGAAAAGACATACAAATATATTGTCGCCACTGTGTATTGGTGAGTGTGCAGAATTGCATAAATGGCAACGGTGTCTTCAAAGAATACCAAAAAGTATATTAAAAAATGATCAACATCACTAATCATAAGAGAAATACAAATAAAAATCACAATGATATTTCACCCCAGTTAAAGGGGTTTTTATCAGAAAGACCAAAACTAACATGCTGGCAAGGATAGGGAGAAAGGGAATTCTTACATACTGTTCTTATATACTGTTGGTAGGAATGTAAACTAGTACAGCCATTATGGAAACAGCATGAAATCTTCTCAAAGGCTAAATCAGAACTAGCTTATGATCGAGTAATTCTACTACTGGATATTTACTCAAAGGAAAGAAAATCAGTATAGTAAAAAAAAAATCTGTGGGACCAGCAGATGGTGTACTTGTTACATTACTGAACTCCCAGTGACTCAACTATTATTTGAGTCCTGGACCCAGCAACTTAAAATTCTTGCTGGGTGCATGTGCTGCATTCATGCACAAGATCCTGAGAGGAGAATGGAGAAGGGATTGTGGCATGGCCATCCCTTCCGGGTGATTTCTTGCTTTCTGTCTCTGCCTCTCTGGTGAGCACACACACTCTAAGCAAAAATCTCTGAAAAAAAAAAATATATATACACACACACACACACACACACACACATACGTTCTCCCTCTCTCTCTCTCTCTCTCTCTCTCATGTTTATTGATTCACAATAGCCAAGATATATAATCAAGCAAAGTGTTTATTAAGAGATGAATGGATAAAGGAAATCACATATGCACACGCACACATACACACACACACTGGGATACTATTTAGTCATTAAAAAGAATGAAGTTCTGTCAGTTGAGGCAACATGGACAGATCTGGAGGCCATATGTTAAGTAAAATAAGTTGGGTATAAAAACAAATGCTACATGTTCTCATATGTGGAAGCTAAAAAGAAAAATGACCACTGCCTGTTTTAGCAGCACATATACTAAAAAATGAACCACATAGAGCTAGTAAAAGAGTGATTACTAGAGGATGGAAATAATAATTTATTATTAATATTATTTATTACTGTTAGATTAATTATTGTATATTTCAACACAGCTGGAAGAGGATTTTATATCAGTCACTACAGTTTGAAAGCCAGGTTCAATGGCTTAGAAAACATATTGGATATGTGTGCATGCATGCCCCAAATCCTGATGGGATAGAGAAATGAGAAGGAATCACAGCATAACCATGTCTTATTGGGAGGTGCTTTCTCTCTCTCCCTCTCTCTGTCTCTTTGTCTCTTTCTGGAAAGCATATGTGCCCTGTAGCAATAATTTTTAAAAAGAGAGAGGATTTTGGGGACCAGAAGTTAGCGTAATCTCTGTGTCGCTGAACTCCCATGTAGCCGGCCGTGGTTTAAGTCCCAGACCTGGTGGCTTAAACTCACACCAGGCACGTGTACATGCATGCCCAAGATCCTGAGAGGAGGGCGTGGTGGCGCCCACCCTATGGCAAAGATCCCAAGAGGAGAATGGAGGAGAAGCGACTGCGGTGTGGCTATCCCCTTGAGGGGTGATTTCTCGCTTTCTATCTATCTCTCTCTGTCTTTCTGGTGAGCACATGTGCCCTATAGCAAAAACCTCCCCCCCAAAGAAAAAGAATTTTAAATGCTCCAACACAAAAGTAATAAATGTATGTAGTGATAGATTTACAGATTATTCTGATTTGATCATAACACATTGTATTTATGCACTGAAAACTATACTGTACACCCATGGGTATAATTATTGTGTCAAAAATAATACACAAATGAAAGTTAAGGGACCAGCAGTTGGCGTAATGGCTATGTCGCTGGACTCCCATGTAGTTGACTACGATTCGAGTCCTGTTCCTGGTGGCTTAAATTCATGCTGGGTGCATGTGCATGTGTGACCAAGATCCTGAGAGAAGAATGGAGGACAAGGGATTGTGGCATGGCCATCCCCCCAGGGGGTGATTTCTCACTTTCTGTCTCTCTTTCTGGTGAGCACACATGCCCTATATCAAAAAACCTCTTAAAAAAAAGTTAAAACAAGTCAACCAGTAGCCAAAAAAGTCCACAAATAGACCAAAATATGAAAACTTACAAGAAAGTGAGCATCTTTCATAGGTAGGAAAATGCAAGTTATTCATTAAGTTATGTACAACTCAATGACATTGGACATGAACCTGGGCAATGGAACACCACTATAGGGGCTAAAAAAATATCAAGTAGCATTTTTAAAGAGAAATATCTCCAGCTGTGATATAGATCAGGGAGTTGGCAAGCTTCTTCTGTACCAGGGAAGATCTGTTTTGAGCTCTGTGAGCTGTCTGATCTATCCCATTAATAACTTAAATCTCCAGCCACAGACATGGGCATGGCTGTATTCCAATAAAATTTTATTTCTAAACACAGGTGGTGGGCCGTATTTGGCATATGCTATAGTTTGCTAAGCCTTGGTATGGAAGATAGTCTTGGCTAAAGAGAGGCTGCTGGCAGAAACAAGCTGCAGTGGCAGATATGGCCTGTGATCAGCAGAGTTGGTAAAGATGAAGTGGAAGGCTTAGAGAAGATAATTCTGGGAAGGGGATGGAAAGAGAACTTTCTGACCTATTGGTTTTAGAAGCTAAGAAAAAAAAGAAAAATGAAAGTATTAAGAATGGCCAAGGGATGCTAATTTGAAAGACTAGAGGACCTCTGGCCTTGGTATCAATTCAGAATCTTTTGATGGTGGTTATATAAATAGGGGACATTTTGTGTAAGGATAAACCTGTATCTATTTTGTTCATGTGCTGGATAGCTAGAGAAATGAAGGAACTAGCTATCCACGTGGTGGGGTAGATAGGATGGTGAGAAATGAGAAAAGGTCCAGTCCCAAGCCCTGTACAAATTTCAGATAGAGCAGAGACTTAAATGGAAAAATGTAAAACCATAAGATTGCCAGAAAGTATGGGTGAAAACAGTCTCCTGAAATATTAGGGATTAAGAAGTCCTATGTAAATAATTAAAAAACCACAAGTAGAAAAGATTAATAGGTTTGACTATATAAACATTTAAAACTTTTGTATAGCAATACACAAGTCAAAAAAAGTTGTCAGTGAGTAAAGGGACCAGCAGTTGGCGTAATGGCTATGTCACTGGACTCCCATGTAGTCGACTGTGGTTTGAGTCCTTGACCCGGTGGCTTAAACTGTTGCTGGATGCATGTGCGTACATGCTCAAGATCTCAAGAGGAGAATGGAGGAGAAAGGATTACGGTGTGACCATCCCCGCAGGGGGTGATTTCTCACTTTCTGTCTCTCTGCCTTTCTGGCAAGTGCGCGCGTCCTATAGCAAAAACTTCTCAAAAAAAAAAAAAAAAAGTGTGAGTAGGAAAGATATTTCTGACATAACAAAGACTAATATTATTATATAAAAATATCTTAGAGGGACCAGGAGGTGGCATGGTTAACATGCTGGACACCTACATGGTCAACTGTGGTTCGAGTCCCAAACCTGGTGACTTGAAACTCACACCAGGCATGTGTGCCCCAAATCCTAAGAGAAGGATGGAGGAGAAGGGATAGAGAAACTGTAGCAGTGTGGCCATGTCCCTGGGGGGAGGGTGATTTCTCACTTTCTGTTTCCCTGTCTCTTTCTGTTCCTCTGGCGAGTGCACATGCCCTATAGCAAAAATCTCTCTCTCTCAAAAAAAAAAAAAAAGTCTTAGAAATCAACATAGAAGAGAACCAAATTATCCTTTGTCCTCTTATTATGAAGGAAGTAAAAGAGTAATTTAATATGCACTAAAAAAGATGTTTGTAATTAAAAAAAAAATAAAACTTTAGTAAGATTTTTTTTTTTTTTCATGTAGAGGTGACCAGTTAGCTAAGATTTAAATGACAGGGTCCAGGTGGTGGCACAGGGTAGCACGGCTGGATCCATAAGGAAAAGGTCCTGGGTTCTTGCCCAGGAACATCCCTGAGGCCATGCCTGGGGCTGGCTGAGACTAGGGGCAGATCACATAAGGACATGAGGGCCCTGTTGGTGGTGCCTGTCTATATTTCTGTCTCTGTCTTTCTTTCTCTACCTCTTTCATGGAAGAAATAATAATAAATAAATAAGTAAATAAGTAAATAAATAAATAAATGGCAAAGCCTATCAATGGCAAGAGTATGGGGAAATGAGGCTTCATGAATTATTTGCAGGAATGTATAAAAAAGATCTTTTTATAGAAAAGTTTGACATTATAAATCAACATGTAAAACACACACTTTGCCCCAGTAATCCCTACCTGCATGAGTTTATCCTAAATTGATGATTGCATGAATACTAAAGGATACACAAATGTCCTTATCACTTCATGGACTACAATAGTGAAAAAATGGTAAACAAATGCCCATCAGTAGGAGACTAGATATTTGGAAACTTTTAATGACCATTGTTAAACCATTAAAAGGATCTTTATTTGATGAGAAGCAATGTTGATGGGGCACTGTTTGAAAAGTGTTTTAGAACATTGTTGCTATCTGCACGTGCATAAAGAAGTGCCTAGAAGACTATTTTCTCTTGATTTTGAGAGTTTAGGGTAACTTTCTCTTTGATACTTTTCAATTGTGTTTTCATTTTTATTTAACTATTGAGGTTTATTCGTGCAAAAGTAAAATCTTACCGGACATCCCATTGCTGCCCGAAGGAATGTCATGACGTCAGCAGAGATAGGGGCAGCTCCAGTGATCACAAAGCGAACCTTCCCGCCCAGGCTGGCCTGTTCGGGGGAAGCAAAAGATCTGCTGAAGCCTATTCTCTTGGCTTCAATTTCCTCCACTGTAAGATGACTATAATAGCCTCCCCAGTGTTGTTATAAGAATAAAACTAGTTGATTTACAAACACTTAGAATAGGGCCCGACATTGTGAAAACTCACTTCAAGTGTCAGCTATTATTGTCATCACCATCCATAGCTGGAATCAGCAATTACATTTTTTAAAGCTTGTCGAATAATTTATATTGTAGGCCCCCTCAAATTACCTATAATTTCTACAGGCTGTGTAAGAATGAGAGTGGTAGAAAGCTTAAATCTGTTTTAAGCTTTCTGACAAACTACCTTTAATGGCAAAGCTGCACAAGATCTCAAAAGGTGAATGGACATAGAAAGTCCCAAGCAGAGGAGAAACTAAGTATGCTGAGGAGTGAGCAGCTTGGGTATTTGTCTGGTTCTATCCAGGACACACCCAACCTACCTGGATCTTGGAAAAGATGAGTTTGTCCCAGATACTGTTGCGCCTGATGATACCATTTTTTACTTCATTGAATTTACTGTTAACTGCCAATTTTAAAAAAAACTTCTTTAGGGGTGTCTTGGCTTCATTTTGTACCTGCAGAGTGAGAGCCCATTTTAGTTGAAACTATTGGAGAAACTCAACAATGGCCGTACGTCTGTAAGCAAGAGATGGAGCCTTCTAGTTTCATAAGGAAGTATCCCACACTAATGAACTGTGTTGCTGAATAACGATGAGCCCAGAGAATTATGGCCACACTCAGAAAGAAATGAACTCAGTATATCATACAGAGATCCAGCCTTCTAAGTCTCTGCTCCCTGGCAAACAACTTTGACAACTGAGAGAAGCATCTCTTCAAAAGGTGGTCAAGAACAACTACCTACAAAGTCATTTGGAGGTACTAGATGAAAAACATAGCTCAATGGGCATCACCCCTAGAGCTTTTGATTTGATTGACCAAATAAGGGCCTAGTAATTTGACTGTTGAAAGTAAGCACTACCTCTCCCTTTGCCACCCCTGTGATGCTTAATGAAGAATCACCTATCTCTGTAACTAATGTGTCTTTTAGCCATATGATACAAAATCCAGCAGGCTGTCTTACTTAGATCATTTCTTCCCTTTAGGCTTAATTCTGAAACCATTTTCCCAACTCACATGATTTCCCTAGACTCCCTGATGCTGACTTCACTGTGACTATACTCTTGCCAAAGGAGAACTTCCCCAAGTAGAGCTCAAAGATAGCTCCTCCCCCCACTTCCAAAATTAAATTCTTTTTTTTTTTCTTTTTTTTGGGGAAGTTTTTTTGCTATAGGGCACATGCACTTGCCAGAAAGACAGACAGAGACAGAGAGACAGAAAGCGAGAAATCCCCCAGGTGGGATGGCCACGCCACAATCCCTTCTCCTTCATTCTTCTCTCGGGATCTTGGGCACACACGCACATGTGCCCTGCATGAGTTTAAGCCACCAGTCCAGGACTCAAACTACGGTCGACTACGTGGGAGTCCATCAACATAGCTACTACGCCAACTGCTGGTCCCACCAAAATTAAATTCTGAACTCTGAACTTCAGCTTTCAAGATTCTACTGTATTAGAAGTCAGATTTAAGGAAAATTCTCTTCAATTCAAAATGTGAAAAATGGCCTTCCTGGAACCAGCAAATGATGGTAGCAGTTACATCACTGGACTCCCACATGGCCAACGAGGTTCAAGTCTCAGACCTGGTGGCTTGAGACTCACACTGGGTACATGGGGGTGTGCCCAAGATCTCAGGAGTGAAATGGAGGAGAGAGGATTGCAGTATGCCATCCCCCCTGGGAGGGTGATTTCTCATTTCCCGTTTCACTATCTCTGTCTCTCTCTCCTTCTGGTGAGCTTATGCACCCTAAGGCAAAAACCTCCAGAGGAAAAAAAAAAATAGAAAGAAAAAAACCTCCCTGGTCACCTTCCATGTTTAAACTCCCATTTCTGGGCCTCCTGATGACCCAGCTGTACATCCTCATCTCCGAATACAACTTGTGCTCTATGAGTTTGGCTTTAGGCATCCACTCATGTCTGTAATATGAATATGTTGCTAATATCTTGCCATAATTTTTTTAGAAATATATACAAATACTACCTGTGTCATGTTATTCCTGACACAGGGATCTCTCATTCATAAGAGATTTATTTTTCTTCAATATTCAATATTTTTTTCAATATTCACATGACTCCCCTCTTCCTAAGTTACTGCCAAGAAGCTCAAATTAGAGATTCATGCTAATAAAGTCCTCTCTTTAAAAAATAAGTTCCAGAAATAAGCTGTATATTAGTTCTTACAATATTATAAAATACCATCTCAAAAATTTTAAAAAATCCAGCACAAACAAAAAAACCATAACAACCAAACTTAGTAATTACGTAGTATGATGATGAATTGTTAGAATTGTTAACAATTCTGTAGGAAACTAGGACTTCCAATGTCCAGGGGTCATCTGAACTAGAACACCATCTGCCTTGTGATAGGACCCCAAGTATAAAACCTGGTGAGAGTCCCGAGTCTGAAAGGGAAATTTAGAATCTCAGTGGTAGAGTACAAAGTATGTGAAGTATAGCCATGTGGTATTTACTCAGGGCTGTAAGCCTGTGGACTTATGAGATTCCAGTATATTACCTGAATTCAAATCCCAGCTCCAATGGCTTTGTAGAGAAATTAGCCAATCCAAGACTTGGGTGAGAAATTTATGACATGAGCTTGGGACATCTTGTGCCAGAAATCCAAATGGATTTGGAGCCATGTCAAAAGGACACATAAAGTACTTGATGGGGGCTCCCAACTTCCAAGATGGGACCACTTAAACATCAAGAAAGATGACTAAGATGAATTAAACATCTATATGAAAATTACAGGTTCATAGTAATACAAAAAAAAAAAAATCTCGGGGGACCAGCAGTTAGTGTAATAGCTATGTCGCTGGACTCCCATGTAGTCAACTGTGGTTTGCGTCCCAGACCCAGTGGCTTAAAACTCATGCCGGGCGCGTGTGCATGTGTGCCCAAGATCCCAAGAAGAGAATGGAGGAGAATGGATTGTGGCATGGCCATCCCCCCTGGGGGGTGATTTCTCACTTTCTGTGTCTCTGTCTCTCTGTCTGTCTGGTGAGCACACACGCCCTATAGCAAAAACCTCTCCAAAAAAAAAAAAAAAACTCACTGGTCATTTTTGAAGATTGCTGGGGTACCAATTCATTATTTTTATAAAAGCAGGGAAAGAATCAAGTATTTGTTATGCCTTTATGGAAAATCCCATCTAATGAATGTAAGAGTAATGATAGACTTAGAAAAATATCATTTTGAAATCCTTAATGAAAACAGAGCAGTGATTAATAACAATTTGATTCTGGCTGTCTCTTATTATATTTGACTCTGAGAAAATTATTTAAACTCCAAAATTCAATTTCCTTATCATCAGTTAGAGATAATAAATGTATACCTATTTTGCTTTGCTCCTGTGAGCCTGACATGGGAGAATGCATCTAAAATGTTTACCTATGGACCTCCACAGGAAACACAATAACCAGGACTTACTATAAAATCAGAGTAACAACTTTCCAGTTTCGAGTTGAGTTCTTTCTCCAGATCAGGTTCGGATTATCTTACCCAGTGGAAAAGAGGTTTCATTGATATGGTTTTTCATGGCTGCATTTGTAAATATAGCTTTCAGTATATACTATTGGGGGGGGTTGTCAGAGGAGGAGGTAGAGCTAATTCTTCACAGTAAAGAGTCTCTAAGAGCCTAAGCACAGGGCTAAGTCACAGGCAGCATCTTCATCTGAAGTTGGTAGAAGCAAAGTTCATACCTTATCATACACTCTGTTAAGGAGTCGAGGCACTGTGGGAAACACTGTGGGCTTCAGAGTCTTCATGTCATCAGGCAGCAACCGAATATCTCCTTGGAAAAACCCAATTTTGGTTCCACAGGAGTACCCAACAGCCTGAAAATAAAACCAAAGAAGAAGGCTTAGAGCCAAAGTTAGTTCCTTGTTGTACACCCTGTTAAGGAACCAAGGCACTGAGAGAAACTGGCAAACACTGTAAAAGAGATGAATCAACTCCCTGTCATACCTCTCATAGCAGAGACAGGATATAAATGCCAGAAGCTGACTTTGGAATAATGGGACTAGCAAGTTAGGACCCCTTTTTACAAACCTGTTAGGAACATAGGATGCTCACCTGTACAATCCTCTCAAACATATGAGCCATGGGTAGGTATGATATGATCACATCATCAGGAGTGGGCTCAAAAGCATGCTATAAATTGGAGAACAAAGAGGAGACAAGATTGGATTAATGGCAACGTTCTCTTCTAATCAAGATTTAAAAACTATCCTTTGCCAAGACTGCAAAGCTATGCGGGTAGTACATTCTATAATTGTAAGAGGTGCCTTTAAATGTGTCGTGTGTAGAAATTTGCAGTAATCTGAAAAGTCTAAGGCTTTAAAATATCTCTGGAACAAAGACCACACTAGTATTTGTCCACTCAGGCCTTTAACCTGTTTTGTTTTATTTCCTTTCTCTGCCTCCTTTAACTTCAAGAATAATGAAGGCCTCTTTTTCCAATTGACTACTCACCTCCATACATTTGAGAAAAGCAGCAGTGTTTGAAACAATATTTTCATGGGTCATCATAGCTCCTTTGGGGTCACCTGTAGGAAATAAGAGGTAGAGAGAAAGATCCTTTATATACCAAGTAGGTAGCCTTTGGTCTTGAAAGCAGCTAGGTTCAATTGGTCTCTACTCCAGAGAGTCAGATCTTTTCCTGTCACTGTATCTTTTATGGATGGTATAACAGGAATGATTATATCCCTCAGAAATGTTTCTACTGAATGCATCATTGACCTCCTGCTACCACATAGGGCACAGCCACAGTCTCAGCAATGTAGTCACAAAGAAAAATCCAAGTAAAATCTCCTTCGACTTCATATCTATTATTAGCAATAATATAAAGTAATAGTGTTATAAACCTTATAAAATGGGCATACTGGAATGAATGTAATTGTAGACCATGATGGGTCACATTAAAAATGATTAAGCACTGGGGCCAGTACATGGTGTGGAGGTTAAGTTGGCTGTATTCCCACATGGCCAACCATGGTTCAAGTCTTGAACCCAACAGTTTGAAAATCACCCTGGGAATGTGTGTGTGCATATATGCCTTGAATCCTGAGAGGAGAATGGAAGAAGGGGTGTTGTGGCATGGACATCCCCCTTGGGGGGTGATTTCTCACTTCCCTGTCTCTTTCTGTCTCTTGCCAATGAGCACACATGCCCTATGGCAAAAACAAAACAAAACAAAAAGGTTAAGCATTGTAAAAGATGGGGTAGATATTGAATGGGATCACAGCCATCCTGGAGAACTACCCCTGAGTTATCTTGATTGAATGAAGTCATTCCAGTGATGTCAGATTGAGAGAATAGTGGGTTGGAAGGGAAACATTGACTTCCGCATTTCCTCTTGCAGACTTCTGACAATCCATAATATGTAAATACCTCCCAATATATTCAATGAGGCCATCTCCCCTGGGGGTGATTTATTGCTTTCTGTCTGTCTCTCCAGCGAGCACATGTGCCCTATAGGAAAAAATCTCTCACACACACACAAAAAAACAAAAAACTTACGATTTTCTACTTGGGAATCCACATTCAAGTCTTAGATAGTGAGCCCCTAAGGATAGGGCTCATTGTTGGATATATTTACTAGCTAGCCCATCAAGGGTCAGGGTCTCAAGCCAAGTTTCTGACTGACCAGGGGTCTCTGGTACAGCTTTATGGGCACTGACCTGTGGTTCCACTGGTGAAGCAGATGATACTCAGATCTTCTGGGCTAGGAGGCTGAAGAGGGAAGCACAAGGGCTTACTATACCATGAACTCGGAGAGCTGACTATGTAAAGACTCAAAATCAGATGGAATAAAACTTACCACAGGTTTTCTGAAGTTCTCTTTGCCTATATTCTACATGAAGAGAAGACCAAGAAGGAAAGACATTAGTTGAGTTGGATAGACTCAAGACAAATGCAGCCCTCTCTTTCTCTTTTCCATGAGACTATGTCTAAGGGAATATAACCAAGTTTGTACATGGATCAGGCCAAAAAGCCAATATTCAGGCATAATGGAAGCTCTGCAGAAGAGCATAATATTTCTCTAGAACCAACCTAAAGAGGGAAGTTCCTATATGTCTAAACTTCCTATGATATTCTTAAGGTTTAGTCATCTAGGGCCATGACTAAATCTTTTTATTTTATTTGTTTATTTTGAGAGATTTTTGCTGTAGGGCATGTGCACTTGCCAGAGAGACAGAGAGACAGAAAGCAAGAAATCATCCCCAGGGTGGATGGCCACACCACAATCCCTTTCCTCCATTCTACTCTCAGGATTTGGGGGACACATGCATATGTGCCTAGCATGTTTTAAGTCGCCAGATTCAGGACTTGAACCATGATCAACTATGTGGGAGTCCAGCATCATAACTCTTTTGCCATCTGCTGGTCCCTTTTTTTTTTTTTTTTCTTAAGTAATAGGAAGAGTTAACATTTCAGGGTTTACTACATACCAGTCTCTGCCCTGAACAATTTACATATATTAACTAATTTCACTCTTTACAACACTTCCAGGAGGGAGGGACTATTCTTATCCCCCTTTTATGGATAGGGAAGGGGAGATGTGGAGTAATTTCTCGAGGTCATCTAATACGTATAGATCTGGAACGTGAACCCAGGCAGCCTGACTCTAGGAACCACATCCTTAACTATTACTTGACTCTGTGTTTACACATTCTCTGTTTAGAAATCTGTACAACTGGCCAAAGAACTTTATTCTCCCCTAGTGTAGGTATCTGAGTTTTCTTGGAGATGTTCTTCTCAAAGCTTTACAGTATGAGTCTGATTTACTCCTTACAAGTTACCCATGGGAAACAACAGCCCTGTGCTCTTGTGCAGATATCTTGTGAGTGGTCTATGGTGTTGGATCAGCCTTTGAGCAACAATCTGAGTTTCAGACCCATACCTCAGCATCAAACATGGATAGGATCTCAACTCCAATTTTCTCCCCTCTTTGCTTCAGGTCATCATCAAAGGGGTCCATGAGGATGACCATCTTCAGGCTTGGGGTGAGGCCCTTCTCCACATTTTCTACCAAGGCTGATGCCTTTTGAGGTGTATCACAGATCACTGTGGCAATATCGGCTGAAAGCAGAAATAAAGCCAGAGGTTATGCTCTTACTCTGCTACATACCTGATTGCCTTGCAAGTAGAAGAGGATTTTTTAAAAATTCAAAGCTAGTGGGTCCCCAAAGGAGATTACATCTATAAGTCAGATTTATAATGTCCAACCTGAAGCATTCCATTGATAATAAATGAGCTTAATTGAAATAGAAGCAGTTTTCTCACATGGTGCCAACACATTTTGTGCTTTCTAGAGAAATGATGAAATTCCTTCTTCTTAAGAAAAGTTATTCAGACAATATGTATGGATCACTAAAGTTTGATTCTGTCAACATTCTTTACTTCAAGGAGAAGAATAGGGAATAAAAAAGAAACAAAGGGGATAACAGTATTTTTAGCATTTAGACAAGCGTTTTATGATTCTAGATGGGTAGCTTTACTTGTTTGCACAAATAGAAAGCTTCTGATATTGTCTATTGTTCAAATGGATATTCTCACTCAGTCTATTAGTACTGCGATGGAAAATACATCTTGCATATGTGAAAGGGCTGTTACTTGCCCATTGTATTTGACTTTGTTTCTCTAACAATAGCAATCTTTTTCTATAGATTCACTATGGGCATTGGTACATGCTGGTTAACTGTACTGATTTGGATTTACAAGGTTAGTGAACAAAATATATAGCTTCATTGAATTAGTCAATTAAGTTCACTCCATGGGCTTTTATCTAGCATGTTCACAGTCTTATCTCTAAACTATCTTGTCATTCTATGCCACTTTGAAGCAACTTGGTAAACTTTTTATCTGTGCATATCTCTGCCCCATGGGCTTTTGGTAATTTCTGTGTAAATTATATCCTAAATATTATAGGACCAGAAAGGTTTGAGCATTTTCTGGTGACAGCATTTCAAATCTGCTTTTTAAAAAAAGGTAGAGATTGAGGAATTACTAAGGGCTAAGGAAAACTCAAATTGTAATAGCAAAGTTTTACCCTTGTTGACAATATATATGATGGCTTCTGGTCCCAAGGTATCATACAGGGGGACTGCTACCATGGAGTATGTGTAACACGCCAGCTCGGAGATGACCCACTGTGTGGAGAAAAGTTCAAGTAAGGGCTAGACAATGATTTTGAAGAGTATTTCATTTAGTAATTCAGTCAACAGATGCTTATTTGCTACCTTTTACATAAATAAATAAAAAATTACTGTAGGGCCGTAAGGACTCTCACTCATACTTCTATAAAGTCCAGTTAAATAAAAAAGATAAAATAGACACAGAAGATAACTACAATACAAAGGTAGACTAGTAAAGGTAGAATGTGGTAAGTTTCATCCATAGGAGGTATGGAAAGCATTAGAGTCATAGGGGCAGAAATTACTTTTAAGGGTGAGGTAAAAGCTCTCTGGAACTTTAGAGAAAGTGGTCAAACTGGGTAGGACTTGAGAGAATTGGTAGGATTTGGTTATGGAGATTGAGATAGAAACAATAGGCAAAGAAGGAGGTGAATTAACAAAGACTGAGTAGCATCACACTGTATACATATTAGCAAGAGTTAGAGTGAAAGGAAATAAAACTGGAATGGTAGATCAGAATCTGCAATGGTGAGCATTAAATGCCACTCTACATGTTGTAGACTGATTTGTGTCTTTCCTCCCTACCCACTGCACCAAATTCATGTTGAAGTCCTAACTCCAAAAGTGACTGTATTTGAGACAGCTTCTTTAAGAAGAAAATTGAGATTAAGTGAGATTATAAGGATGGAGCACTAAGCCAATGTGACTGGTATCCTTATAAGAAAAGGAAGAGACATTGGGGATATATGTGCACAGAGAAAAGGCCATGTGAGAACACGATGAGAAGGTGGCCACCTGCAAGTCAAGAAAAGAGGCCTTAGGAGAAACCAAATCTGCCAGCACTCTGATCTTGGATTTCTAGTCTCTAGAACTGTGAGAAATGTTGCTTAAACCATACAGCCTGTATATTTTATTACAGCAGCCTTCACAGAATACTACAGTGTGTTTGGTATTAAGTTTCTAAACTGGAGATAAGAATATCTGTTCCTGCT